AAAAAAAAAAAAAAAAAACCCTGCGACTCCACCGAACCACCAAAGATTCACACTAGTATCACCACTGTAACACGACGTCACCACCACAGATTCACACCAATCACTGGAGCAACCACAACAACCACGACAAGAGACACCAGACCGCCACATCAACACCACCATAGCACAACAACATACCACCACGGCACCATCACATATTTCTTTCCACTGCGACACCACCGCCACAAAAAACCCCAGCGACACCACCGCAGATTCACACTAGCATCATCACTTTGACGCCACCGCGACACCACCGCACCACCACAGATTCACACCAATCACCGGAGCAGCCACAAAAACTACGACAAGAGAGAAGTACGGGAGAGAGAGAGAGAGAATACCGTAAAACGAGGCAGACCTTGGGGTTCTTCGACGACGGCGCAGCTTCAGATATCGTCGCTGCATATATACCATTTCAATCGCCGCTTCAATCGTTGTGACGGCGACGAGAGATGGGATAGTTGCAGCGGTGAGGCTGAGGCGGTGACGACGGTTTTAGTTTAGGAGAAGGTGCTGAGAGAGTGGAGAGGAGAGTAGCGAGAGAGAGAGAGGAGAGGTAGAGAGAGAATGAGATTGGAGAAAATGACGTGATGGAGGTAGGTAGGGTTGATTTCTAAATTATTTAGGGTTTGGATTAGATTTAGGAAATTTGGGGAGGGATTGGATATATAATATTTAATACTTGATTTAATTATTAATTCAATACCTGATTTTTGATTAAATAAAATTAAAACCTGAATTTTGAATTTGAAAAATTAAATGCCTGATTTTTTGTAATTTCCCATTCTTCCCTGAATTTTTTGTTAACGCTTAAGGCCCATTGGGCTTTGATTAATCAAGACCCAAAAGGTGGCCCAAGTTCATTAAAATATGCAAGGACAATTTCGTAAATGAAGCTGAAGCTTGCTCTAACATAACCACTAGGGTTTTTCATCCCCATTCCACAAAAACCCAGCAGCGCCGGTTTCTTTGGATCTTTATCGGCTTCCTGGTAAGCGGTTCCGCCTCCGTACGCAGCAGACATTCACGCCGAAAGAGTGCTCATTTTTGTTTGTATTTTTATGTTCCTGCATTTTGTGTGTTTCTTGAAATGTTTGTTGCTGGAATTAAATGTATCTTAGCTACGAGTTCTTTAACAGTTTCAATAATCTGTTCATCTCTGATTTTTCTTGTGTTCAATTGAATCTTTCAAATCCCATCTCACATTTCTTTGATCTTCTTAAGTCTTACTGTCTTTGCAATTTTTCGAAATTTTGTAGATTGTAATTAGTGTTATGTGGTGTAATAAAATTTATTTCTTCTAGAATTTTAGCGTATAAAATTGGCCCTTTAATTTTGCCTTTTAGGGTACTGACAAATTGGCTGGTTTCAGAAATTTTTTGCGAAGGGTGGCTGGTTTAGGAGCTCTTGGTTATGACTCAATTATTTATCGCTTTATGAATTCGTGAATCTTAGTGTGGTTCTTGAGGATTTTTTATTTGGCTAGAATAATTTTTTATTTGGATACATAGAATAGTGTATAAAAGCTGGTTTTAGAAGTTAATCGATTTGGCTGGTTTGATTTGGCCAAAATTATGCTTTTTCCTGTTTTCTTTTCATTTTTGGGTTTCTTCATTAAATTTGAATGAATAGACATAAGTGCTACAATCTGATTACTTGACATTTTGCATTTTTATTTATGACTGGTGACTGGTTTATGAGCTCTTGTTTAGACTCATTTATTTCTCATTTTACGACAATATGAATCTTAGTATGTGATTCTTGCGGATTTATTTGGCTAGAATAATTTATTTAATATATGAAAATATGCTGATGAGTTGTTTAAATATGATTGACAGCATAAGTTAAAAGCAAAGATGGTGAGAGTTAGCGTGCTGAATGATGCGCTTAAGAGCATGTATAATGCAGAGAAACGGGGGAAGCGCCAGGTCATGATAAGACCTTCTTCCAAAGTTATTATCAAGTTTCTCCTGGTGATGCAAAAGCATGGTATTTACAACATTATGTGCTGTTAATACCCTGCATTGATTTGATGCATGATTCTGTGAGGTTTTATATTTGTTTTCAACTTTTAATGACAACATTTAGGCTATATTGGGGAGTTTGAGTATGTTGATGATCACCGTTCTGGCAAGATTGTGGTCGAACTGAATGGAAGGCTGAACAAATGTGGTGTGATTAGCCCTCGTTTTGATGTTGGCGTGAAGGAAATTGAGGGATGGACTGCAAGATTGCTTCCTTCTAGACAGGTAATTATCAAAAAGCCCCTTTTGAGTTAATACGCATTTCGGAAGATGAAAACTTTAGTAATGCATGATGTACTAAACTGAGCCCCTGTTTGACATTTTTTTGAAATTGTAAGTTATGGATCTCATGTAATATATGGTTAGAAAGTGGTTAAAAGTTGTGGGTCCAATGAAACGTGTGAATAAAAATGAAGCTTGAACAGCATATAATCTCAAAAAAACTTTGTCAAATAAGGGCTAATATCCCTTGAATTGGTGTCGTGATTTTAAGCTTTTGTAAGCTGGTCAAAGATAATTTTAACCACATATTCATTAGAATCCACAACCTTGGCTACTTTTTAATCACTTATTATTTGGACCCGCAGCTTATAATATAAGCAAAAGATTTGCCAAACATGGACGTAGTACCTAAATAATGATTCGTACCCAAGTGATGGAGCTAAGTCAACTAAATGATGAGCAAGCCGTGTCATATTTTCAGTTTTTCTTCCTTGACGTATGCCTAAATTGTAATGATAAACTTGCAGTTTGGATACATTGTACTGACCACGTCTGCTGGTATCATGGACCATGAGGAGGCTAGGAGGAAGAATGTTGGTGGGAAAGTCCTCGGCTTCTTTTACTAGGCTTGTTTTGACCCGAGTTTGTTTCCATCTCTGAGGAGGTTTTGGGTTTATTTTGAACTTGTTTACGGTTGGGATTAGCTCAAAGTTTGATAAATGGTTTGTTGTTTCAAATGCAAGTAGCGATTTTGGCAGCATTTTTCATGTTGTCTTATTTTTATCGACGTTTAAATCTATTAAAGAGCAGTTGCTTTTATTTCTGTCCAGTATCTCTGTGCCCATCAAGTTAAAGGTTTTTGGGTTGCCGGGAGATAAAGGGTTCAGTTTTTGTTTACACAACAATCATGAAAAAACATAATCTCATAATAGCTTAGAAACTGGGGATATGTTTATTCATGTTCCGACACGTCGTCTTCTCTTTTCTTAGTATGGTATCAAAACTTATTAAGTTTGCACGAGTAATTCGATTTGATTAAGTCTAGGAAAAAATGAGTACACGGATTTCAAGATTTATTTGTTCAAGCGAGTCACTATCTTGGGGATTTCAAATTCACGTTCTCAATTTTTTGAGTAATAATTGAATCGAATTGTTCTTTTGAACTTAATAAACCCTGTTATCATATTAAAACTTGATAATCCATCTTAAAATGCCAATTTTATTTAAAAGGAGGAATCCAAACCGTATAAGTTGGTCAATGTTTTCATCTTTATTCGATGTGAGATTTTATTCTTAACATAAGAAATTCTTTAATACCATCCATATATATAAACTAGGAAATATTGAGTATTAACTTTAGTTCCGATTTCTGAATTGTAATCAAGGTGACGAGACACCTTGTGTTTTCACACACGATAATAAGTTGGAAGAATGGTGTCTGGATTGATTGCGAGCCCTATGCATCGAACATACTGCAAATCTAACTATTAGATTTCATAATTAGTATATCATGTAAGTTATTAGCGGTTTTGCACTAATTTCTTCTTGATGGACCGAAAGTCTGGATTTTAGACACTGGAAATTTTCAAGAAATGCCTTAATACACTACTTGTCTAGCAATCGAGCATCAGAGATAAATTCGAAAGTCTAGGGATTTTCCCTATTAGATCATGGCTAGCTAATCACACTATTATATTGCTAGAAATCAAGATTCTAATTTGGGGATTGGACTTCGCCCATATCTCCTTTGGGTTACAATATATATGAAGCCCACACAGTGATTCACTATACATGTTGACGGCATGTTTGATATACAGTATTGGCCCTGATTCGACATTATAAATGGATAAGATTATAACTTATTTTTATTCCTTAATATAGTCCAATGTACTAAACAATTCAGGAAAGTTTACAAGTAGTTAGTAGTGGCACTTGGATTAACCTTCAGCAAGTTCTGGCAGTCCACATTATACGACTGCAGCTGTTCTTGTGTTTGCAGCTGCTGGACAGAATCTAAAACCCTGGATGAAGGAGCCAATATATCAATATTTCCAAATTCAGAAGAAATCCCTTGTGGGATAAATGATGAATAATCGGCACTTGTGCCTCCTTGGGGCTGCGGCTGATGGCCTCTAAGCTGCAATGCAGTAAGAAGCAAAGAATTCATTGAAAGATTGGAATTTAGCAGTGGCCAACAGCTGGTTAGTGATGGCTGCAGAGAGTTTGCTGCAGCATTAATCCAGTTCATGTTAGGATCCAACCCCAGCCCGTTGTAGTTTTGTAGGCCGGAAATGTTGTTGGTGATGTTTGGTAATTCGATGTCCCCGAGCTCATTGATGATTCCATTTGTATCACAGGGAGATTCTTGGGATTGCGGTGAGGCCGGTGTTTGCTGAGGTTTCTTCACTATTGAACTCTTCAGGAAGACTCTACATACCGCCCATTCCTCCTGAGAATCAACACATATATACATGTTCAAAATCAAGGATTCTTTCAATAATAATTTGACTGTGTAATTACGGCTGCACATATATATTTATGTGCAAATTTCTTGATCCTGTAAATCTTGTACTGAGAGTCGTGGATAAACTATTGTGGACAGAGTGATTGAACCTCACTTCTTTCTAGTGTGTTTTTTCCATCCATTCACCCTGATTTTTTTCACTTCATAGTTTTTGAGTAGTACTATCTAGATGACGTCTAGGTGGACCAAATGGGACATATATCTTTACATTTAATTGAACAAATTATTTGATATCACTTGTGTGGCCACTTAAACTTGTATTATCTTATAACATCCATGGACGGATGGAGCAACCCAGCCCTCACCCACTGACTTTTTTTTTTCAGTTAGAAAAAAAAAATTATGTAAAAAAAAAATCATGTATAATTTTATTTTTTTTCACGTATTAGCTCAACTTATAATCCAATCCTGAATCCGTCCCTGATAACATCTAATTAGTATCGTTCTCTTTGTAATTTAGAACACGCGTGAAATACAAAATTTGCAAGTTGAGAGGTTAGAAAATAGAACAAGAAAGATGAAGAGACTCAAACCTCTTCCAATAAAGTTGCATCGTATAATACAATTGTCTTATCTAAATATAGAACCGGTACATTTACCTTAGTGGGTTTTATATATTATGGGGATCAACCCATGCTATAATCACCAATGCAAATTTTACTTTCTAACCATGAATAAAGCGATAAAGATTAATTAGATTATTTACCTTTGTGGGTTTGAAGGCATGCTTGGTTTCTAGTCTATATTCATGCATAACCCAATTGGTTTTTTCACCCTTGGGAGCTCTACCTCTGTAAAAAACTAGGGTTTTCTTCATTCCAACCAAGACATCACCACCATAAATCTCTCTGTCTTTGCCTGTTGTTTTCCAGTAACCTGCTTCTGTAGCTCTATTGGTCCTCAATCCAGTCGGGTACTTGCGGTCTCGCAAGCTGAAGAAATACCATTCTTTTTCACCCATGGAGGCTTTGGCTGCGGTAAGTTTTTGCATAAAAATTAAGGTTTATAGTCGTTGAAAAACTTAATTGAAATAAATGTTTCAAGAGTTTCAAAACTTGCTTTATCACAGTGTTTTAGCATTGCCGTCAGTCATTGATAATAAAATTTGTGCACAGATAATATCTGTCTTTAAAAATAATGAATGTTCTTTGCACGTTAAGACGAGTGTTGGAAGCTTAATGTGAATAAACTACAGTTTATCATCTCTTTCATAGCTTAAGCTTTAAGATAACGTGGTTCGACATTAAATAATTTTAAAAATTGAAAAGAAAATCTTTACATTTTATGATTGTGGAATTTTATCCATTATTTCCATCATCGAGTTTATTTTCCATGAATGCTCGGTGGTCTGTTTGATAATTCATTCAATTCGAAGAAAGAAAAATGCAAAAAAAAATAAAAAATTAATTGTTTTTATAAAAGAAAATATTAAAAAAAATAAATCTTTTTTGACATATGAACATTGTAAAAAACCAAATGCATCTGTTCATCACGTTGAACAAAAGTCCAACTTGTATCTAATCTACCAAATAAAAATGACAGACTCTTGTAATACATATGGTAAGACTCATTTTTGTTTATTCAAGATTCTACTTTCATGTTTTTGTTTTATAATAAAAACATTCAAAGAATTTTATTTTTGACGAAATTATAGGATCAAAACTGTTAAATAATTATTGATATGCAATGAATCAAACACAATTTAAAGACATACCAGGAAGATCCCAAGGTTCACACTTATTGAGATCAACATCAGTAATAGCCCTAGAAGTGAAACCAAAATCTGAAACTTTATTACAAAGATAATAAGTGATGAGTTCTTCATCTGTGGGATGAAACCTGAATCCAGGAGGAAGATTTTCCTCCATTTTCGCTCTCTCTCGATCGAACAAAACAACTCGACTCGTCCTAAAATATTGTATATTCTGAGAAAATGAAATGAAGTACGGATGCAAAGGGGTTTATTATAAACTGGTACGCAGCCTGCATGTGCTTGAATAATAAGCTTCCATGGCTGCTCTTGTTCAATTCTGACGATTACAGCTAACGCATTGACAAGGATAGTCCATGAATATGAATTTGACTTGGATTACCATGTTTGCCATTAGGGTTGTGAATATTTTACTATAAAAACTTGGGAAAATGACATTTTTGGAGGACAATAGTGACAATTCCTTTAGTAGAAATAGTATGTATGAATTTTTATCAAAGGCATAGTCCAACTACCTTCAACCATTTCTACCCACTAAAAATCTGTATCAACTCAGCACTGTCTGATGGGAAAATTGCTTATTCTACCGACACATGTTTTCGTCACCTCTCTCCTTCTCTAAACACGTGTGCGTTTCCTTAAGCCCTTGTACGAGCTTCGTTCTTCAAAAATTTATTTTTCTCCAAACTCATTTTTAAGTACTCATTCTCTTAATGAAATAATTTTACACGTAAACGTAAAATCCATTCTTATTTTTTTTTTCAAAAAATAAAGTTCAAATAAGCCGTAAATTTATCGATGGAAAGCTAGTTTTTTCTTTTTCTTTATCTGCATATTTTCTTCTCATCTATTAATATTGTTGAGGACATTTTATGATTTTCATATCATTCTTATAATTTTCAGTAATAATTATTATATTCACACTACAATTTTTATTTGGTGCACCACATTTTAATTTCAATGAAGGTCTCCATTATTTTCTTATTGTTACATTTACATTCTCAGCTTCAATTAAGTAGCATATATTATCCTGAATGACGGTTTTTATCCAAAAATCTATTAGGATCACTGACGGATCCAGTAGAAAAAAAAATTATGTAAAAAAAATTTTTCTTGTGTAATTTTTTTTACATATTAGCTCTGCCTGTAATCCGGTCCTGAATCCGTCCCTAATTAGGATGACATAAAAAGACCTAATAGTTCTTCACGCTTTTAAATAAGAAAAATCTAACAAATACAAAAAATTTGACGAAATATTAGTACTTCATTTCAAAGTACGCTACTAATAGAATATTTGAATAGAAATTTTTATCTGGGACAAGATGTGTTAATTAATTGAAGGTTGAATAAGTTAAGAACCTAAATTTGACAATGAGGAAAGGTTAACGACATTCATTATAATTAAAATCTGGTGCACTAAACAAGTTTGTCGTGTGAATTCGATTACCCATTTTCTGATTGCTCTAACACTATGGATGCCTAGCCCTAGCCCTCTTATTAGGCCCTGTTCGGGAGGGCTTAAAATCCAATTAAAATTGAAAATATGGCCGTTATTGGGTCTCACCCGTCTAATAAAAGTCAACAATAAAGGCTATATTTTCAATTTTAATCTGATTTTAATATCTCCCAAAGAAGCTCTTAATTTGCTAACAAAGAGGTAATATTTTGAATTGTCAAATATGTATTAAGGAGACACTAAACTCCCCTTTGACAATAATTATTTGGAAAAAATAGAGTTTTGAATAGTGATTTTTAGGAGAATGTGTGTATTGTGAAAAGAGGAGATGATACTGAATTAATCAAATACCAAATTGTTGGAGAAATAAGAGATTATAGCCACAATATAAAGTAATTCATAACAAGAATACAATAATAAAATAATTTACAAATAATGGAGATCTTATTATAATATGGAGAAAGAATACAAAAATTTTGTGTTTACAATATTTCTAATTTCTTACTAAATCATAATGAATAGTCAACTATAAATATGGAACAAATAGGGGATGTCCAAACTCTAATAGTAGAGTTTTAGTTGAAATAGAATGCCGAAAACAAAATTCAAAACGAAGTAGAGAACAAAAAATTGCTCCGGGCGAAAATAGGCAGGTGGTGCTGTAGCCCCGAGCCTAGAGCCGCAATGTCGAGTCAAAAGTATCCTAGCACCGCAGTGCCAACTCTCAATTCCTTTATTTCAAAACTTGGTTTTTTTCATCCTAATGTCGTCTTTTAGTCCAACACAAATTTCTACTCCCAATTAGACTTCCAAGTAAAATATCAATTAGAATTCGTCAAGTAAACTTGAATATGATTTTACAGTAGCATTTCAAATATAATTCTTTTTAACGTGGACTTTAATTAAAACTCTCAATTATTTTTAACAAAGAATTCGGGTCACGCCCAAATTCTAGCAATCTCCACATTGACACGAATTCGACTACAATGAATAAAACTTCAAATGATCTTCAAGACTCTACCTTCAACAGTATTTCTGTGCCCTTTTGAATCAAGCGTACTTAAATAGATAAGATTTCTCTTTAAATTTGGAACTTGTCTCACTGTATCAGTGTTCTAACTATCCCATTAAGCATCTTTATTCCGACCCGACCAATACCAGCTATCCGATAAGGTATATCATTATCGATCATCACAACACCTTTTGTAACTTCTTCATATGTTAAAGACGAATCCCGATTAAAAGTTATATGAAAATTGAAGCTGTATAAAAAATTCAAGTCTCGTCAGGTTTGAAGTTGTAGTCAGATATAAATAAAAACTCTCTATCACTGTTAGAATTTTCCACAATATTTTCTTTCCCTGAAGTTTTTGATTTTTGATTTGTAGTCAATTTTGATTTATTCTACAACTTAAAATATCGTTTATTAAGTGCCCATTTTTCTTGTTGTAATTACAAATTTTGAAATTAGATTTTAACTTTGCCCCTTGAACGATCACCATCAACAATAAGGTCATCTCTATGACCCTCAAATGTAACAAGATGCTTCATATTCTCCTTTAAATATAAAGCATACTTCTTCGATGGTGAGAATATTATGATTATATAAAATAGTGTCTTTAAAAGACATGTATGAAGTAGATAATGAACACAATCACAAATCTTCTTTATCATATTTGACCTATAAGGTCTCCAAATCAGCAACGATTTCCTTAAAAGCAGTTAAGTGATCTTCAAGATGTATATTTTGTCTTACGATGAGAATATAAGAGTTGTTTTAGATGCAATTTACTAATAAAACTCTTCTAGTGATGGCAAAAAACCCACTCCGCCCCGGCGAGGCCCCATCCCGAATGGGGCAAAAAAACTCGCCCCATCTCAAGTCTGCCCCGCCCCGAACCAACCCCGTGAAGAATAAAAAAAAAATTATTTTGGACATTGTTTGTTTCGAGTGTTTGATTTGGATATTGATGTAGTTAGTTTGAGTATTATTTGCTTTGAATTTTAAAATTTTGAATTTTTATTTTAACTGAAAATTTTTGAAAAAAAAAGAGGGGTAGGACCGCACCCCGCCCCATCTAAGGCGGGGCGGGGCACCAACTCTAGACTCTTCGCCATACATAATTGCTTCAATTTTTACAATAATGCAATGACTAACTCCTCCTTCAAAACTTCTTGAAAAATATTATTTTTGAAAGATGTATTTGAAATAGGGTCTTTCGATACCTCTATTGTTTCTCCTCCAGAGTCCAAGTTGTTGGCATCTTATTAAATTCCAATAACACGTCGTCTAAATCTATCTGAGTGAGTACTGCTCACATATTTACTAATCACAAAGAGAATTTTATATTGCGATCCAATAGCGAAATATCATACTTCATTGTTTGGCATCACGAAAAATCAAGTTAAGATATGAACTTGATCAAAATCTCGATCTTCCCAAGAATTTCAACACTAAAAATTCTAATACTAGTTTGTTATGAAAAGTGTAGATGTTACCCCTAATTAGATTATGGTTTAACAACCAGAAAATAAGAAATTATAGCTACAATAAAATAATAAATTACAAGAACACAAGAATAAAATAATTTGTAGTGAATGAATAATATGAAGAAAGAATAAAAAAAAAATTGTTTACAATATTTATGACTTCTTATTAAATCATAATGAAGAACCAACTATATATAGGGAACAAATAGAGAATGTCCAAACCCTAATAGTCGAGTTGTAATTGAAATAGAATGCCAAAAACGAATTTCAAAACAAAGTAGAGAACAAAAATCGCACATGGCAAAAATAGATGGGTGGTGCCTCGGCGACACAACGCTGTGCATGGCGCCACAGTGCCCCGGGCCATCGTCGCAGTGTCCACTCTCGGTTCCTTTTCTTCAAGACTTTATTTTCTTTATCACAATGTCCTCTTCAAGTCCAACACAAATTTATACTCCCAATTGGACTTTCAAATAGAATTTCAATTAGAATTCGCCAAATAAATTTGAATATAATTTCACAATAGCATTCCAAATAAAATTCTTCTTAACGTTCACTTTAATTAGAACTCTTAATTATCTTTAACAAAGAATCGAGTCACACCCAAATTCTAATAGTGTGGTTGAAAAGTAATAAAAAATTTTGAATTTATGTACAAAATATTTTATTGTATGAATGTGTGATTGAAAATGAGTATGCTGAAAAAAGAATTCGAAAATAATAGTTGTCAAACAATGACTAAATTCAGAAATGCAAGTCCGGATCATTTGTCCCCAAAGTTCGAAATAGTAACACTTTTAATTAGTTTTTACAGCAGCTGCTTAGTAGTTATCAACTTATCATTTTATTTTTACATGGTGGTTATTTTGGTCATGCAAATTGTCAATACTCAATTACTATATGGAAATTTTTTTAGTACTTGTGGGGAAAAACTTAAAATTGCGATTATCAATGTTAATTATATCTCTATTTTTCTATTTTTCTTTTTTGGGATGGGGGTGGGGTGGGGTGGGGTGGGTGGGGTGGGTTGGGGGGGGGGGAGTTGGTCAAGGGGTAAGGCAGTACGAAGTTTTGGGATATATGTTCTCTAGTTTTATGTATTTACAAGAAATTATCGTTTAATAACATACCTATGGTAGCTTGCTTGCATTAATTATAATCCAATTGTACTACGTTAGTTAAAATCAATTGATTTATTAATATTTTCCTGG